TTTGAGAAACTTGCATGGTAGGTGATGGACCCGACCCAGTAAACTGCATGATGACCGGCAATGAAAAGCCGAGGTAAACTTGGCAAATAAAAATGAGACGGCTGTGGGCTGATCCACAATGCATGGGATTTAGAGCTCTTCAGCTGACCCATGACACATGTTGAGCCCAATCCATGAAGAGATCGGTTGACCCAGGATCCAAGGCATTTTTAGCTATGTCAATTCATGGGGTACACTTCTCAGCCGATGCACAGTACAAGTCCTAAGAGAGTCTTGATGGCCGGTCCACCTTTGATGGGGTCAACTGATCCATGGGCTCATCAGCAGGCACCATCAACTATGGTCTGTTTGTATGGTCGGGGGGCTCAGTATTAGTGGGGTAAGGTAACTAATACTTGTGTAAGGATGACTGGACTCCTGATCAGGATGGCTCCGATGACGATGGAGAAGACTTGGATGTGGAGAAACCAACCAAGAAACCAACCAAACAGCATGACGAACATCATGAGGATGGCTCTGATGATAGTGACTCAGACTCCGATAATGGTCAAGAGAGGCCAAAGCAGGATACTCTGACCGAGCCCACAGTAAAACCTAGCAGGGTCAACCCGACCTTGGAAGAGGATAGAGACTCGGGATCAGATTTGGGCTCAGACGATGCTATGATCACTGTAGATACCAGCCCCGAGCTTCAGCCTCGGTACAACAACACCCGGGCTCTCTCCCATGAAGTACCATCGGACACTGAGGTCTTGGCTGATGATACATTTTGGGAAGCCGACCTGGGCTGTGGGGTGGAGTCGGCCGATCGAGCGAAGAAGAGAAAATTCACTGATGAGGAGGATACACCCTGCAAGTTTCCTCGGTTAGAGAAGGGTTACAAACTTGGCCTGAGGAGTGCCTGACCAGGCAAAGTCAAATGCTGAGCTGCCTTGGCTGTTATCCAAGCCACTGTCAAACCAGCTCAAGCAACCAATCCGAGGTCGGACACAACCAAAGCTTTGAATAGCTTTGATTTCACTAAGTCAAGTGGTGTCAACGCAAAACGACCAGTCCCTTCAAAACAAAAGGAGTCAGAGGCCGGTCCCAGTCAGCAACCATCTATTGATGTGCCCACCAAGCCAAAACCAAAACCTCGTCCTATCATGAAAGGCAAGGTTTCTACAGGGGAACTCGGTATAGTAACCCGAGAATGGTCGAAAAAGATTGCTGAAGAAAGTGTTCATTCCACCCGGTCCAAGAAAGTTTCATTCGTCAGTTAAACGAGGTCTTTATTGTCCTCCACTGATTCCTGCCGGAATCCAGCGGAATCCGGGCAATTCCTGGAATTCCGGAGGAATCAAATTTGGCAGAGGGCCCTGCCAAATTGATCAAACCATTCCGGCGGAATTTTGATGGAATTCAAATTCCGCCAGAATGGTTCCAGGAATCACCCAGAAGGAATGATCCCAGAATGAGACGGAACAGAATTCCTGATGCCCAAATTGAGTGTCGGCGTTTGCCGATGCTTGATTTGGGCGTCATCAACAAACAACTCCCACTCTCTCAACCCCAGTGAAAATCGACCCTAAAAAATGGCCAAATGGATCGGTGGAGCCCGATCTGAACAGGGGAGATGGCCGGAAATTGGCAAATATATCGATTTGATCCGGAGAAACCCGATCTGCACAGGGTCAATTTTCACTGGGTCTCAACCACCACCATCATCCACGACGCCAACCCACCTCG